AGCATGTCGTGCAGGGTTGTCCCAAAAGAGGTAGCGGCTGGCTATCAGTGAGTCCGGTCGCCGTGCCTGCTCCCTGCGCCCATGCAAGCGGCGCTTGAAGCAGTACGGCCCGCGCAGTTATTGCCGCGTAGAAATATCTGGGAACATACTCCAGAACAATTTGACGTGATCGTGGCCGAGCGATGTTACGGGTTATAGGATTGGAAGTCGCTGTCATCATGGGAAACCGGGATGTCGACAGTCATCGGAAAAAAACGTTTTGGAGAAAACGTACATATGTCTATGATAGGTTACAGTTACTCATTAATGTGCTGGCTGAGGGCGAGCATCCTTCAGCCGAATCCAAGTCATCGCACACGCAATCTTTCAAGTGTTGATGGGGTGTTACACTGTGGGCGGCTCGCCCGATAAAGGACGAGCACCGGGGGCCCTGACCGGGCCGAAACACAGCGCAGGGGTGGGCGCGCGGCTCTACGTCCGTCTGTTCCTCCCGCGCGCGCCTCATTCCCTCACTCACGCCAACCGGGACGCTCTCCCAGCCCCTGGCTAGGCAACACAGCGGTGCAGAGGACTGCGAACCGAACTATGCGAGAGCCGCACGAAAGGCGCCACTTTGCCTGGCCTGCCTATTCACGCGCTCTCGTCCCTCTTGACCACCAAAACAAGAACAAAAAGAAAACACCACCGGGGGCAGGGGCTCTACTCAGGGGGCTCCTCTACACACTCAAAAACCAGGGCCCCACGCAGCCAGCAAGGCAAGAGATACACGGAGGACCACAGGCCTGAGACGACACACCACATAAGCCGAGATACGGTTGCACAGAGAAGACCAACACGAAGCGAGTACTCGCACACTGGTCCTTGAAGGCCAGCTGTTCAACTACCACGAGCAACGAGCAACGAACACTTCCCGAGGGTGGCCACCACTACCTCGCCGGTCCACTCACAAACGAGGCGAAACTGGTCCGCCTGTCAGTCTCCTCCTGGGGGTTGCGGGTTCCCGGGTGCAGCCCAGCGCAAGACACAGCAAAAACACCTATTGCCGCGGGGGGGATGATAAGCCAGCACGGTGCCCCCCTATAAAGCCCGGAAAAGGCACGGCTCACAGACGCCGCCTGCTCCCGCTTACCACACCGAAACCCCTCCCCTCCTGACCCTGCCGGAAACAGCAACACCTGTTCTCCACCTCCCAACCACTGTCCTCCACCGCTTTCCCACCTCCTCTCCACTCTCACAAGCCACCTACGTCTCCTCCACTCTGATGCCAGACAGCACAGAACCCAATCCCCTCACTCCGACGGGCCCCAATTCCCGGGGAGAGGGCAACCACACGAGCACACAAAACACACACAGCCCGGATCCCCAACTCCCCCTGCTAGACCACGCTCAGGGCGCTGCCTCCTCGCCCTGCCCTCCACCTGCCCCGGTCCTCCCTGCTCTCCTCGCTCCCTCACCTATCCCTACTCCTGGCTCTCTCACCCCCTCCCTCACTCTCCCTGCTCCCTTTCCAGTAAGACCTCGACCCGACTCTATCTCGGCTATTTAGGCCGTGATTTCCACCGGTGCTGCGCACCGCATCCGTTCCTCCACGACCGCCAGGATAGGGTGCTGCGGCCCGACTCTGTCCCAGCCGTGTCTGGGGGTCTCCAGCATTGCGAACGAGCGCAAACGCGCCCAGAAGTCTGCCACCGCCCGGGCGCGTGCGCGGGCCAGTGGCAAGGCTCCTGTTGCGCCCGCTGTTGCTGCTGCTGCCACCGCCTCGCCCCCTCCCGCCCCTGCTTCCTGCGTTGGCCCTTCATCCGCTGGGGCGTTTAGGGTGGGTCCTTCTTGCTGCATTGCACCTCCCGCCGGGGTGAAGAAATCTGTGATGGCCCGCTGGCGGGATCTCTGCTGCTGTGGCTGCCCCATCATCTGTCGCTGTTGCTGTCGCTGCTGCTGCTGCTGCTGTCCCGTCGTTGCTGTCGCCCCCATCCGTCCCTGTCGCCGGGTTGCTGCTCGGAGGCAGCACCTGCCGACTTCCATGGCGGATAGCGCCGCTAGGGCGATCACATCCCAAGGGCCCTGCTCACACCCGGGTGGCGCTTGGGCAAGCCAGAGCTGTTGCCGGGTGGTGGTGGCCCCTACTGTTGTCTGAGTGTGTGGCAGGTGCCTGTCGATTTTGCTCCCGTACGGCACGTGCGACTGGACATTCCCAGAAATGGTGCAGACGCGGTGGGCAGGGTCGGCCGGCGGCGCCCCCATAGGTCCCACACCCGCATGGCTCAGTGGGCACCCGGGCTAGGTGCGTGTTGCCAGGTAGGGGCACGCCATCCACGGCGAGACGCCACATGGTCTCCTTGTTCTCATTCTCCCAGCGCACCCCATGCCACAAGCGCGCCAGAGTTGCCTGAAAGCGGCTAAGCTCGGCAGAATTGTCAGGCTGGGCCTGGGCCTCGGGCGTGTTCAGGGCCTCATGCACGAAGTCGGTCATCAGGCGTATTCGCCGCTCGTCCACATGCCCGTTCTGTAGCTGTGTCGCTTGACTGACTGTTAGGCGGCGGAGCGGCACAGCGTCCGTCGCCCCAGGGAGGCGCCACCCCAGGCGCCCAATCATCATGGTCATCACTTGTGTGCAGTCTGGCAGTGTCATTGCCTGTGCTGGTGGTTGCTGCTGGGGCCCCTCCTCCACTTGTTGTTGCTGTCGCAGCCTGATCTCCACCGCGTGTGCTGCCGCCAGCCAGGCCGGGCTGATGTCGCTGTGCAGGGCTCCAAGAGCTGCAAGGGCGGCATCCTTGTCCTGCAGCTGGGCGGGGCCTGTGGCTGGGTCGAGGTGCTCACGGGCCCACGAATGCCAGGCTGCTCCCTGGAGGGTGGTGGCTTGGCTAGTGTTTACCGCTTCCCACACCCGTACCAGGTCCCCCACCGTGCGTAGTTTCCTGCACGGTGTCAGTGCTGCATGGTATGCTTCCAGGCCTGGTCGACGGCTGGGGCCCTCGGTGCTTGCAGCATTGGTCGCATTGGGCAGCAGTGGGTTGCCCCATAGCGCCGCCGCCCAGCACCAATCACCGGGTTCCAGTGGGGTTCTGCCAAATTGGCAGGGTTCGACACCCCGTACGGGGCCCGTAAGTTTTTGGCCTTTTTTCGGTATCCCCGTCAGGGCCCGTAGGACTTTTCGGTGGCTCCCGTAAGGATTTTGTGGCGCGAAGCGCCCCGTACGGGGCCGCCCCCGGACCGGCCGAAGGCCGGTTACGGTGGCTCCCGTAAGGATTTTAAGGATTTATAAGAGGCCGTACGGGGCCCTGTAGGGGAGAGGACGGACCATATAAAGGATAAGGCCACACACTTGGCAGACATAATTCATATTCCAATATTTAACTACACTTTTCATAATACTTTTATAGCTTCTGGTCTGTAACATCCAGCGATGGCAGACAATGAGTCGTCAGGAGGTGACCAAGGGCCTCCTAATCCACCGCCCTCCAAGAAGCGCGAGAAAATAACGAAAATAACGATTTACAGGGCAAAAAAATGCAAAGCGTCACTTTCCACAGCGTTTCAGCCAAGGACAGTGCCCCCGTAAAGGTTTTACGGGGGTTACGGGGGCCCCCGTAAGGTTTTCGGCCGGTACAGGAGCCTGGTACGGGGGCCCCTCCGTAAGGAAAATTTGGGAGGTACGGGGGAGCCCGCAAGTTTCAGGAAGGTCAGTGTCGAACCCTGCTGCCAATGTCCTCCAAAGGCGGCAAGTGACCCAGGGCCCCCACGATCCGGCTGATGTCTGCGGGAAGGTCGCTGCTGCCGAGCCACGGTCCCGGTTGGAGTGCAGGGTGGGTGAGCTCCAGGTAGGCGGACAGCGTGCGTACCCAGGGGTGTAGGCCCCGGGCCTCACAAGTGTTGCTGCAGCATAAATGGACACCGTCTGACCTTCAACCGACATCACCGTCTCGTACTGGCTATTGGCAGTGCTAGATGGGTCGCCATTTCCACTCACTGAAAGCAACCAGAGGATCCCGTACAGCACGGATGACTTAAAACGATGTATCGGCTTGTCTACCAGTCTCGCCGGCCTCACTTGCGCAGCAGTCAATGCATTACTCTGCGGGTTAAGGGCGGGACTTCTGCAAACTCGTCCCCATCGACAACAGCTCAGCACGATGCCATGGTTGCTGGCCATGCGAAACACAATTCCCATTCCCAGGTGTAATAACACGCAGGAACCTGCCTGCTGTACGGCAGTTGTTGGCAGCGAGAAAAAATGGGACACGTGTTCACGCCCTAAGCTATTAAGCTGAAGGCGGGTGATAGACACGACACACGGGGGGTAACCACGATACATGGAAAAACACGCACGCACCACGCACGGGGTGCAGGTGCGGCTGCTGGTTCTCCTTGCGAGGATATAGCCCCTCAGAGACGGTAAACGCTCTAAGACGGTAAACGCTCTAAGACGGTAAACGCTCTAAGACGGTAAACGCTCTAAGACGGTAAACGCTCTAAGACGGTAAACGCTCTAAGACGGTAAACGCTCTAAGACGGTAAACGCTGGTTGCGCAATCTGAGCAGCGGTGTATGACTGAGCTTTGCGGCGGCGGAAATGAATTGTCGACCAGTGCCCAGCGTCCTCACGCACACAGGGGATTGGCCGTCCCTATGTTTGGTACACTTTTTGTGTAGCTATAGCAAGCCATTTGTTTTCCAGGTGTACTCGGTTCTTTGCAAGTAGCCGCTGACGTCGCGTCACATGATGCCGAGTATGTTGTGACAGTGAATAGTCAACAGCCATAAGGTGCAGGCTGACCCCCGGGGGCCCGGGCCGGGCCCTGTCACATGCTTCCAATCCATCACAGCTGACGGCGTGCTCCCGTCCGATGCCGGCTTTCTACGCTTTTTCCTGATTGCTATTTGAATTGCTATTTGAACAACTTGCACGAGCAACAGTGAGCGAGGGACATGTAAACCCAGACAGGTAGTACAGATCCCGCCCGCCCTGGCACCAGTGCGGTGCTGCAGTCCACCGAAAGGATCAATCATCGTCGTGTTACATTCCTCCAATCGATGCCCAAGTGTGGCTGCAATTCAGCAAATCATCCGGTAAATTTGTATTTCGCTTAACCAAGGGGAAGTAGCTTCGAGACCACAAAGGCGACAAATGGCGCCAAAAAACATTTTCTAAGACGCACAAAGCCATTCAAAGATTAAAAACGACTTGGCATGTATGTGGAAGGCACGACCACGCACGAATTGACCGCTATCGATGGATAGCGAAGGGGGAGGGTGCTTACCCGAGGAATGGCTATGGAAAACACGACCGAAAAAGCACACTCAAAAACGTTTTTCCCACGGATAGAAAAAACCACACCTAACGACTTTTAAGCGAGATAACGCTAACCCTTATTACCGAAGCCCGTCGACAGTCGAATCTTTTCTCACCGAGCTGGAATCGCGACACGATGCTGACTCACATTTGGGCACTAGGGCCACGAAGTGACAGGCGTCAACGCGTATATCCAACCCCGGTGCAAATCCGCGACTACGGGCAAGAGCGTCTTCTTCCGCTGCAATCCAACTTCAGGAAGGCATTGGGTACGGCGCTACCCCTTATGCTACTACGTTGATACAATAAGCGCCTGCCGTGCCCAAACTACTGTACAGCAATGCCACACGTGGCCCTCTTGCCCTCAACGAGTACGACAAATATAATCTCGAAAGCAACTAATAACCACCTAGATAATCACACTCCCATGGCAACCGGCACATGTCGACGTGTGTGTGCAGCGTGCTTGAATCCGGGGTCCTGCCGGCAAAACAACAACGCCTCATCGCCTAGCATGACGCACTCAACATCACCCGCTTAGGACCCAATATACACTACCCAGGCGGTGACCCTCGTAAAGCGTATTTCGCAGAGTGGATTTAAGTTCGCTGTTAATGGCGATCGTTATGTGTGTGTGTGTTACATGGTTGGGGGTGCGTGACCCCATACCTGTAAGACTACCCATACGAGCCGAGGGCCCAAGGGCAATACTACAACGCCTAAAAGCCACGGAGAAAAAGGAAAAAACACCGCACATCAGCCCAGACTAACGTCCAAAGGGGGTAATTGAGTTTCGGTGAGCCCACATACGTTCCAACATCCTCGCCAGACGTGCGGGTTCCCATTGCATGGCCTCCAACATACTCTGTTGATGATCGAATCCCTCTTCAGCACGAATATCATTATAGGCTGGGCATTCCAATAACACGTGTTTTTCATCCTCAATTCGGCTATTAGGACCACAACAGTGGCAAAACCGCTGCCCCCTGGGGACATGGTACTTGCCCCTTCGTGCTCTGTTCGCCTCCAAAGCCCAGCAACATAAACGAAACTGCATTAGCTTACGATGTGCTAAACGAGGAATGAAAACCTTAGCATGTGTTGGCCACATGACGGCTGCGGCTCCCGAAAAGGGCAGCCCCATCCAGTGCTTATACTTCGCCATTTGCACTCCCGGTTGCTTCCCATCTGATCGTTATGTATCAATATCAGGTCCCTATATACAATATCAAAGCACATGTCCACGTAAATTACAGGTGGCGCCTCCCAAGGGCCGGCTTGCCTTGGATTGGCTTTGCCGGCTTGGGCTGCATGACCATCTTGGGTGGCGGAGGCGGTGGCGGGCTACCCGCCTGCGCCTTTGGTGGCTTCCCAAGCTGCGGCGGCGGGCTGCGCAGCGCTGATGGCGGCGGCGGCGGGCTACTTGGCCCGGTTTGTGGCGGCGGCGGCGGCGAGCTGGTAGTCACAGGGCTTGACGACAGCAGGGGATTGACGAAGGAGCTGTAGTCGTACTGCGTCGCCGCCTTTACGCACGTGGCGTCGGTCTTGACCAGGTTGTACTGCTGGATCTGAGGCAGGGAGGAAGAGGGCATGGTCATGGGCAAAGGACCAGCCGCAGATCATACAGGATGGCGCCCTAGCAGATAACCAAGAGATGAGCGGGAGTCTTGCAAATATCAATTAAAACACACTTTGCTGATAGAGCTTGGTAACGCGGAATATCATGACTGTCGCCCGCCAGTATGCGCATATGGCAGACTTCATAGTAATAAGCGCTAAGGAATGGCCTTGGGATGGGGTCCCTGTCATTGCAACTAGAAGCTGCAAATAGGCAAAAGGCAGCTATCAAACCCCCAGGGCCCTATGGTCACAAAGGTTGATGGGCCAAAAATGGACTCACCGAGGGGTTGCCATTGGCGTTGAAGATGCAGCCGCGGAGGCACTTGACGATATACCTGTACGACAGCACGGCAGTACGGCATGCGGTAATGGGTGAGTTTTGAGCGGTAGTTTACGTTATGAATGGGGCGCGATGAAGGTAGAACGCCTCCCGTAACAAACCCCAGAGCCATGGCTTCCTTCTTGCACTCACGGGGACTTCAAGTTGTATGTGGTGTGGTAGTGGTAGAAGGGGTAGGTGGTGTCTGTGTGGCCGCCGCACTCGTCTAGGTTAGTCGGCGGCACACCGTTGTCGCCCAGGGCGCCGTAAATCGGGATGCTGTCGTACATGATACCCAGCAGGGGGGAGTGCGTGCCCGCGGTCTCGTTGTACACGCAGCCGGAGCCAGGCTCAGTGTGAAAGTGGTAGAGACCGCTCTGGTCTGCACTCGGAAAACCATGGGGAGAGGAACGAGGGCGGGAGGCGAGGGCGGCTCAGATATGTGTATGTATGTATGTGTGTATGTGTGTATGTGTGTATGTGTGTGGAGTAAGCGTGGGGCCCTGGCCCTCGCTCAAAGGCTTCGGGAGGTCGTTTCCCTTCCTGATTGGGGCTTTGGATTCTGATAATACGTGCACAGCAAGGACCACACAGGCAGGGACCTCCGGAAACCTCACTCACCGGCGTGACCGCGGCACCCATCGAAACTCTGGCCCTCCTGTAATGGGCAGTAGCAGGAGCACATTATAATATGAGCACAGTGCGTGGCATCAGCACGTCACTGCAGTCGCAGGAAGCTATATGCCCTGGCATGCCAATCATCGTCCACAGCGCATGTTACACCAATAGTGACAGTTCTTCAATCATCCGTGCAGTATCGACTTTTATGACACTCTTCTCTAGACTTGAGATGATGCCGGCGAAGGGTTGTTCTGCACTGTACGTGCACTGTATATACATACGCACGCAGCAGCAATTGTGATGTTGCAACCCGCCGGCACGAGTATGCACGAAGACCACACATATTGCACACTGCTCCCTCTATTAGGACAGGAAGCTCAAGGCTGACTACTTGCCCGGTACATACCCGCAAATCAAGGCCCATCCAGCAAAGCCCCAGCAAAGCCCCAACAAGACCCAATCTATTGAGTCGCCAAGCCAGTCATGACTTACATAAACATAGGCATCCCGCCCAAGAGCATCCGCATCGCTGTACATGCCCATGCCGTTGACCGTATAGCCTATGGTGCTCATAATTTTCCGAGAGTTGCTGGTGGTGCCGCTGGCATAAATACCGACGTAGCTGTGGAGCGCATTACGAAGGGGGGAGGACGGGCGGACCGGGAGGAAAGGGTTCATTTAACTTTGTAAGGGAGAACTGCAAGGTGGGGTAGATCCAGTGTTGTTTTGAGCACGGCACGTTCACTTCCTCGTCCCCTGACCATGTACAGCCCAGATAGGTCGTGTTACCCAACAGTGCCCAAGCCCATGTACGACCCCCCGGGCCGCACTCACGTGACGGTGGACGAGAGCACCGGGGTGATGCGGAACGTAACCTGCACGCCGTGGGTTGCGGGGGAGAGGGAGGTCCGCCGGAACGGTAGTTAGGCAGGCAGGCAGGCGAGTTGGTGTCTACAAGTACCACAGCCACGGGGAGCACTGCGTTGACTTTTCGCAGCGTTGACTGAGTTCTCACCGTCTTGTTCTGGAAGGTTGGCGTGTTAGGTGTGGTCTGATTGTAGGGGCTGTAGAACGGGCAGCCGCTGAAGAAGACCGTGTACTCGGTGCTCGTTTTGCTCACCAGCCGCACCACCTGTCAATGGGGCCAGCGGGCAACGTATATAACTCCGGGCACACAGAATGGACCGACTGCGTGAGACATACTGTAAACAATAAGGCGACAAAATGGACAATGGTAAACGGTAAATGGGCCACAGCGTAGCAAGTTTAAGCGACAAACGCGGGACGCGGCAGGCCGCGGCCCAAGATCCCTCGACTTCATTCGCTGGGTGATCCGCAGATCACGGTCAGGTAGGAATAACACAAAATGTAATTTTCCTTATAGATCATCGGCAATCGCGTCCCATCTTGGAGGAGCATGGACGACTTGGCCTACCTGGCCATCGCCCCTTGGGCAAGGAGTACTGGTGCCGCCACCACCACCACTGCCACCACCGCCACCACCGCCACCACCGCCACCACCGCCACCGCCAGGCTGACCATTCACCGCATTAAAGCTCATCAGCGTTATCACCAGAGCCAAAGGCAGCATTTGAGCTGAACTCATCGAGTTCATCTTTGCTTCAAAAGGGCGATCTAGCCAGTCACTCCGGAAAGATATAATGGGCTGTTATATTCTGCTATTAAAAAATAAACTGGTTTATATACATAAAGGCGGCAGGAGTACGGCAGCTGTTTCGTGCGGACGAGCGGATTCGAAGGGGTGCGCACGCCCCCAAGAATGTTTCGTAAAAGCTTAAATTATAGAGAACAAGGAATGGAATATGTCAAATTTTTTTCCTAAGCGATATGCCAAGTCAGTACTGTACTGGAAGGTCTGACGCAGCGCAGGCGCATGGCTTGGATTGGCCTAGCCAAGCTTGGATAACGATCAAGTAGTGCTTTTACATTGTAGGAAAAATATCGTGGAATAATGCACTGCTTACCTAAGCAGGCATATGGTCCGAATTCGAAAGGCGCAACCGGAACGCCCTCAATAGAGCTAAGGCCCTCAGCCAGACTGGCTCGAAACAGCGAAATAAATCTAAAGACAATAAAATGCCGAAATCTCAACCGCTCCAAAGCGCGCATCTTCTCGCATGTACCCTCTATCGACGGTTTTTGCAACGAATCTATCCGAACCTATACGAAAAGTACAACCGTTACTATGTTGAGGGGCTTCAGGATTGTGAGACCTCACCTTACCTCCTTAATGTTTTACCTTGAAGCTATCCTGGGACGACCGTTCCTAGGAGCTGAAGCGATCAGGCAGGGCAGGGTCGTGGAGTGCATGGAGTTGCAGGTCCGCCAACACGCGGCGCAGGGCCGCGGTCTCTTGCGACATGGCCGAGCCGAGTTGAGCCGATAATCAAGTAAAGATCTATTTTTATATTTGTTTCGAAGTACTAGCCATTCCCAGATGGACATCGTTGGTACACAGTTGCTATTGTATGCATCGCCAAAAAAGTCGCACCAAAAGAGTCTGAAGTTACGGAGCGCAATGGGACATATCTAGCTTCTCAACAGCAAGCCTAATCATTGATGTGGCGCCTTGATGATAAACATGCTTGGGGCCAATGCGAAGAGTCGTGATGGGGTGATGGTGACGGATGATGTTTTATTTGTAGCCACTAAGCCTACGTCACTTCAAATATCAAAGGCATGATGTCGCTGCCGCCGGCTGGCTTTACAACGGCGGTGGGCTGTAAATACCCGTTAGGGTGGGGTGTCGCGTGCTCTATTGGGATTTCTCATCCCGTGTTCTATCGCACGCATTTTCCGTATAAATGTCTTTTACGATGACAAGGCAACTTGGACGATTGTGAAATCCCCCTCTTTGGTCAGAACCAAGAAGCTGCTAAACGCTTTTATTAGTGCCGCGCATTTCCTCGGCTACGCGCAGGCGAACCTAAAGTCCGCTTAATCTGATTTTATTGCCCTTCAGGTGTCATTATGCGGAACTGAAACATTTCATTTATGTCACTTTTTAGGCGAAAGCGTCTGGCAAGCCTGGGTTTCGGAGTGTGAGCGGAAAACAGTTGAGCTGTTATTATTTCACTGAACAGAACTTATACTTGAGGACGTACTTGTTCTCGACTGTTCAAACAATTCTGTAACATGTTCTCGTGGTTTCGAAAGAAGCCAATACAAAGCCCAGAGCTAAAAGAAGCTGAGTCCGTTTTCAGCGAGGAAGAACTAAACTTAATACAGAAGCAATTTTGGGCAGAGATTGCAAGGCAAGGCGGTGAGTGGGCAACGGTCAAGATTTACATCAACCCCCTTCGTCAAAGCCACTCAATATCGCGCCTGGCCTCATGTTGCATCCGTTGCTCAAGCGCACGACTCTGCTTCAGCTCCAAGTGCTAGTCGTCCACCTGGACGCAGCGTGCCCCACGGGTCACTTTGCCCGCGAGGTCCACGCAAAACCCCATAACCCCCTTAGCTACGTAAAATCTCCCTTCACTCCCTCAAACCCCACGTCAAAATCCCGTTTCCCATCCGACACAACACCGCATTGCCCCAGTAGTAGCAAGCAGCCCCATCATCGAACAGCCCCCAAGCAGTGCACTAATCTGTTAAATCCTCTGCAGCTCGCAGCCAACGCAACGCAGGTCAGCCCAGCTAGTGTAATCCAACATGTTCTTATGGGTGAGTGCAACTCATGCATGTGTGTTCGTCCGTTCGTCCGCATGTACGACATCAGGTGCGGGATCAGGGCGCGCAGCCCACGCGCGGGATGGCGCTCTGGACACCCGCCACTTGGGCTCCCTGCTGGGGCCCCCCTGGGGCTGTCTAGAGCCGCTGATCGCCGCCCACCTGCAGCTGCTGCTGGCGGATCGAGCCGACGGCAAGATACACCTGTCCGGCCTCATTATTGCCAAGGTAAGAACCAACTACCAACTAACCAACTAACCAGGCAGCGAGACATATTGTAAGGGAGGAAAAATTATGGCGACCCCGACCTTAGGGCTGTAACGAGGCCGTAGTAACAAGCGCAGCTTCGTGAAGCACTATAAAAAAGCAGTTACACCTCCAGCAGTGCGCCAAAACCTAATCCTCTGAGCCTCCCGCACTTTTGGACGTCCTGGAGATGGCGGATGGGGCGGCGGGGCACCTGAACCTACCTGCCCCGGTTTCGACCCGACCTCGACAACCCCTTCCCGAGTGTGATGATCGGTCTCGGAGGGGACAGGTTGTCCTGTCGCTGTCGTACCTCACGCGGCATCGCACGAGCGAATCCCCGACTTGGCGTCCGTGGACAGTCCACTGGGTTTCTGTATGGTGTCGTACTCTTGTCGTGGGCAGCAGCGTGGAGAGATTTCATGTACGAACCGTGCTGCGCCCTGAAACCCCCTTCCCCCCGTCAGCCCCTTCCCCCCGTCAACCCTGCCACCCGCCGCTCTCTCTAAGGCACGCGCTGAGCGGTTGGGGGAACGTACCGCCCTGAAGTTCTCGTACCGCCTGCTGACCGCGGACGGCACGGGTGCGGGGTATAAGGCCCTGGAGGCGGCAGTACTGTCCTGCCTGCGCCTAAGTAGCGGAAGCAGCAACAGCAGTAATGCGGGAGATGTCCAGCAGCATGTCGCGGCTGTGTGTCGGGGGGCGCTGCTGCATGAGGCGTCGGCAACGCCGGCAACAGCTGCGGGACATCAGGCAACTGCTGCCGCCACCAACCCCGAGGACGTACTGCTATCGTTCGATGAGTACTGCAAATGGACGAGCAAATGCCCAGCACTACACAAGGACCTCTGCAGCTTGCTACGTCGCATCGGCATGTCAGACACAGCAGGTACGGTCGCTACTGCCGGAGCACCAGCACCAGCTGCGGCGAACTGCGGCAGCAGCACCACCACCAGCAACAGCAACAGCGAACGCGCGACAGTTGCGGCGGCGGCGGCGGCGCCGCGAGGCTTGAATGCGCTGCGACTCCCTGTCTTGCTACAGCTTGGCAAGGCCGCAGCCGGGTCCACTTTGCTACAGCCTGTGTGGACGTGGGTCCTGGCTAGCAGACTGCCTCCCGGTGAGCATCACTGACATCATGAACGAGCCCAACGGAGGAGGGGAAAGGGAAGGGGGCCCGTAGAAGGGTGTGGCGTGCTGCCGACACGACGCCATCGGACGCGTTGCTGCTTTCTCACTCCCCCCCTTCCCCCCCTTCAGATCCACGCCCTTCAAATTTCTCATGTGGCTGCGCAACAAGCGCAGTGGTCCTTTCAACCGCACTCTGAACTGTACGACATATAACACTCAAAAATAATTCATTACCTGTCGTATCGTAACGTGCACACACAAGGCTCGGCTTGTGTGTATTTTACACCTAGGGCTGCGCTACTCTTCGGACGTGTAGCATGTGAGCCCAAACGAGCCGGAAGGGGGCCCGAGGGCAGGGGCTGTCCGACACCTGTTATGTATATGCACATGCGGTGGAACCACGACAGCGGCAATCAACTGCCATCAACTCCCGTCAACACCAGCACCTAATCCCTATCTTCCCCTGCACACACGCACACACCGAGACACACAGACACATGCACGTGCACACATAAACACACACACACATATGCATGCACGCACACGCACGCACGCAAAAAAAAACACTCGTACGTGCGCCAATCTTGATCCCCGCACCAGGCCGCTGGCCACAACTTCTGAAAGTCACACCCCCCCACACACACATCCCCGCCCCATGCAGCCCAGCGCGTGGAGTGGCGGCTTCTGTTCACCTCTCAGAGAGACGGCAAGTCCTTCAGCACCTTCTTCGGCCGCCTCTCCGCCGCGCCCGGCCCCACCCTGCTGCTGCTCAGGGACGCAGAGGGAGCATTGCTAGGGGGCTACGCCTCGCAGCCCTGGGCCAAGAGCGGCATCTACTACGGCGACGTCTCGTCATTCATATTCTCGCTGTTGCCCATACTGCAGGTACGACAGCGGTTCAGCAGGTGTACGGTAGCGCCGTACCAAGGCAGCTGCTGGTGCAATGGATGCCGACTGTAGCCCGTCCTCACTACCAACCCTACCTAAGCACATGGACCCAAGGGCTGAGGCATTGGCCGCACCTCCGCCCGCTCTTGGCCCCCCCCCCGGTACCTCCCGTCTGTTCCGCAAATGCGGTATTTTCTTCATGACCTACCTACCCTACCCTACCCTACCCTACCTACCTACGTACCAGCTTTTGATCAAAGAATTCAGCCCGAATTCCCGAATCGAATCACCCTCCAGCCCGATAGGTGTGTAAGTCCTGTACCATAGGCTCTGCAGCCCTCCGTAGCCCTCACACACCCCTTGACAGCCCGCCACCCACTCACTCACTCACCACTCACCCACCCACTCACTCACCCACTCACCCACTCACCCACCCACTTACCCACTCACTCACCCACTCACTCACCCACTCACTCGCCCACCCACTCACCCAATCACTCACTCACGCACTCACTCACCCACTCACCCACTCACTCACCCACTCACTCACCCACTCACTCACTCACCCACTTACTCACCCACTCACTCACGCACTCACCCACTCACTCACCCACGCACTCACCCACGCACTCACCCACTCACTCACCCACTCACCCACTCACTCACCCACTCACTCCCCACTCACCCACTCACTCGCCCACTCACTCGCCCACTCACTCGCTCACTCACTCACTCACTCACTCACTCACGCACTCAGGTATTTCCCGCCACGGGTGTCAATGACAACTTCCAGTGGTGCGGAGTGGGCTTCAGCCAGCTGCCAGCCGGACTGGGTTTCGGAGGCGCGGCGGCCGCCCGGGGACACTTCGCCCTGTATGTGGAACCCTCCCTGGACTCGGGCATGAGCCGGCCTGTCGCCACGTACGGCAACACCCCGTTGGCTTCGGAGCAAGTGTTCCAGGCGAGGACTTACCTTACCCGGGGTGGGGTAGTGGGAAACCGGCGCCTGTGTGGGTATGTGGGAGGAAGGGGACGGCTGAGGCGGGGTGTTGGGTATTATCGGGACGTGAAGCCAGGTTGCGGCCACGGGTCGGGTAGAGTGAGGTGGCAGAAGGCTGCTTAGTTCCCGCTTCTGCCATAGACCATTTCCCCTCTTTTTCTCCTCCTCCTCCTCCTCATCGTCACCATCATCATCATCATCATCATCATCATCATCATCATCATCATCATCGTCGTCGTCGTCAAGTAATTATTATCATTCATCTCTGTATCCCTGTTCCTTAAAGCTTCCCCCCAGGGCTCTCCCTTCTTCCTGGTCCCCTCGCCTCCTCCTCCCCCCATGCCTCCCTGTTCTTTTTTCCACGCGCAGATTGACGCGGTGGAGTGCTGGCTGCTGCAGCCGCCCGAGGGGGAGCAGCAGCCGGGCGACACTGCTGGGGGCCGCCCAGGCGGGACATGCAGCGCCGCAGGGACCGCGGGAGGAGGCGGTGGCGGCGGCAGCATTCTCGGCAAGGCGGCTGAGGACAGGGCCATTTTGGAGCTGGCGGGTCTCAAAATGCACAGCGCGGGGCTGAGGGATGAGCCGCTGGAGGAGTGAGCTTAGGGCTTAGAGCTGTTTTAGGAAATTCGGAGTGTGGTAATAGAATTTGGGAGTTTACTTGTTCCGGCTGAGCTTTGGCGGACCGGAAGCTTAGGACAAGGCTTGCATGTTTCTTAGCAGGTCCGGAATGGGAGGCTTTCTGCCGCACACGAAGGACGGACTACAACCGGGCGAGAAGGCATGCGAGGGCGGCAGCATATGAGGAGTGCAGGATGAGAGGTTTTCTGTGGCCAATTGTCGGCATGATCAACGAGCTTTGTGACGGGCTTTGGGAGGGAAGTTGAGAGAGCGTTTGACAAGGTGCCGCGGGAGGTAATCTGTAGCTTCGTTTGCAGGAGAGAGGGGTTGAAGGGTCCATGCTGCGGTCGCTGATGCGGGCGTACGACAAGGTTACAATGGTCATCAAGACGAATGGCAAGACAGGGGGCGAATTTGAGTCAAAACAGGGTGTGAAACCAGGCTATCCGCTGTTTGAAACGTTTACAGACGCCATCGATATGAATGGCGGTGTTAACACCAGGGCACGGCCGGAGGATGCACCTAAGGTTGGCAATGAGCGAGTGTCCATCCGCCCCTATGCTGATGACGTTAGTCTCCTGGCAACGACACCGGAGTGCATGGCGGAGCTGCTCTAAATCGTGGACATGTTCCGTAATGATTTTGGGTTGCGGCCAAATGTGTCGAAATGTAAACGCCTCGTTTTTGCGAGCGACAGCGACACAAGGAGTGCTGTTCAAGCATCGTGTAATGAGCTCAGGTTGGCTGGTGAGGCCGTACCGGCTAAGGAGGGTGCGCGATATCTGGGGTTAGTGTATGGGCCAGAACGACCATTTCGTGCCAACCATCAGCAATTGTACGACGCAGTCAGGGCAGCTATGTTCGTGCTGAGTACGAATTTGGATAGGCTAGAGTTGTTTGCCCCGGATGCGAGGATGAGGTGTTTTGATACGCAGGTACGAGCGATACTGTTGTACGGTTGTCAAATGTGGGGCCCGTTCATGTTGGCTGAAGTCTTGGACAGGCTCAGGAGGCGGAGTGATGCGAGTAACCTTGCGGAGGGGCCCTTCGAGGCATGGCTGAAGGATGGAGCGGTGCAGCTCCGTTCATGCGGCAAACTGTGGGAGCTGCCAGACCAGCACACCGCCTCCCGTTCACTGAATTGTCACGGCTACCCCTACACTACCATGTTGTCAAGCGGATTGTGAGGTTTTGGAACAGGGTCCGTTTTCATCGTGGGTAAGTTTTGCGACACAAGATCGTAGAGGCTCTCTCAGACCCCGAAGGGGGCGGATGGGGGTCACTCATCCTCCATTTTCTGAGTTTTCTGAGGCATGCCATATGGAAAGAGGCCCCGCAAGGGATACGTGAGGCAGATGAAGGAGCGAAATGGCTAATGATATAGCTAATGCCTGAAGATATGGTATCGGAGTTCAAGGATTGGTTGATGAGCGGTTGGAAGCATACGCGTCTAGATGTCTAGCCAGATGTACACCCGTCAGACGGTAAGCAACCGGGAATCCACATGGCGAGATACATGCATTGGAGGGGTCTGGCAGCTGGGTCGGGCGGGAAGGAGGTGCTCCCGCACCCTGCGTTCAGGTAATTTTGTAAGCTTATGCAGTTTAGGCTTTGATGTTGGGCATTGGCCGCGAACAGAGCGCGCAACGGACGGCGTTATGTCCCTAGGGAGGAGCGGGTGTGCCCCTGCTGCGGCACTGATCGCCATATTGAAGATAAGAAGCACGTCTTGCTGGACTGTCCGGGGTACGGCGGAATCAGACCTGATAGGAGCTTCTTCGTGGAGCTTTTACGTGTCCTGGTCGTATCTGTGATCTTTTACTTGTATCGGTCACCTGTCGAGGTGTAAGGTTAGTTGTTGGCTGATCCAGTGCTGACAGCAGCGTGCTGGCGGAGTGCTGTATGTATTCTTAAAAAAACTACTGAATCCAGGCGCGGGCGCGGGCGTAAACTACCATATTCGTGCCAAGACATGTCCGCACTTCGGGTTAAACTAATTGCGAAAGGTCTGACCCATAATACCAGGTCTTCCCGTTGCCAGATTACAACATGCAGCAGGAATCGTCCATCATAAACTCGGAAGAAGGTGCAACTTTGCCTCGAAAGAAACGGAAACGGTTAAGCATGTACTACATATTCACTGTCGACGCTGCAAAATAATTGTTAAGATCGGCGAAGGTCAAACTTACGAGAGGTATTGGTTCACAACAAGTATGGCATCAGCGCAGTTATCTGCGCACGCGCCTGCAACATCGCGGTTGGTGTCGGTACTACAACATTTTCCTCCTGTCACGTACGCGTTTGCTTATGGTAGCGGGGCACACCACCAACCAGGCCTTTATGAGGACGTAGAACATAGAGATTCTTCACCACAAGTTTTGCAGTCGGAACGGTTGAACCATGACACAAGAGCACAATCTAACACTAAGTCGTGCGTTGATGCCGTCGGCTGGAGCTCAGAGGCAAATAAAAATGATGAAGGAAAGGCATCATCGCCTGACACTTCTTTGCGTCCAAGCCGGGGTCCCGTCATCGACTTTGTTTTCGCAGTAAACGATGCACATGAATGGCATCAGCAGGTATAGATGAGAACGATTGCAATTTGAATTTGCAGCATCCAGCTGACAGATCCCTTGGGAAAGGTCTTAAACTACCCGACATCGCACCTCGACTGTCCGAAACAAATTGCTCCCAGCCCCATGAAAATCATCCACTGCAGCTTAGTTCAAACAGCTGAAGTATAAGACAACTTATTTGGTCTCTTTGAATTAGCGTTGTACATCCTCATAGCTAACGATCGCATAGCGGCTGCTGTTCTGCGTGCCGCTCCCTTTCACAGGGTCCCTCCCAGCACGCCCCTTGTGAAGCCATCACTTTCCCCTGTCGCGCTATACCTTGCCGCTCCCGCCTCCTCTAAACCACCCGCACCACCTTACCCCGCACCCCACCTAGTCCACACCCACCCGTACCGTGTCACATGACGTGTATTTTTCCCCTCGCATCACCCCTACACCTCAGAACTTGTCACGCAACCCCGGCCACTACTCCTGGGTGGGCCGCCTTGGGGCCCGCACGGTGAGTGAACACACCCTGCACCCTTCAGTGACACCCGAATATCAGGGCAGTGTGTATTGGGGGGAGCGTACCGAGACCTCATCACCGCTGGGACCTGTGTGGATGAGTGATGGGCGATGGACAGCGCCGTGATGAGGCCGTGACGGCGCACACCTGCCGCCCGCACCTTTACCCCGCTCACTTGCAGCTGGTGATTTCGCATGCTTCTGTAAATCGTTTCCTTCCCCCGCACCTCCCCCCTCGGCCCTCGCCCCTCATGCAAAAGCGACTGGCTGGAAGGCAGCTCCACCACAGGCGTTAGGTCCTTAGGTCGCGCGGGCCTATGGGCTCATAGGTCAATTATGTTTACCCCTCTATTGTCTGTCATGTCGTGTTAGGTATTAGTACCGGCCGTCCTTTGTTTTATGGAACCCGTACACACGTATGTATGTACGTGCTTATATACGTATATACATACATACGTACGTACGTACGCTGCGGCATGTTGTGTAGGTGTGCGGCATCTCGGAGGCGGTGGGAGTGGGGGTGCACTTCAACACGCTGGTGCCGCTGAGTGAGCAGGTGGGGCCCTATGTGGGGCCCTGCGTGAGGAGGGGCCCTGCGAGTAGGCGGCGGATTGGGGCTCTGGGGTATTTGGGGGGAGGGTTTTCGGGTTTTGGGGGTTAGAAGGGGGCATGGAAAGGGAGAGATATGCACTAGGAGGGCCTTACGTGTGGACAGGGCAGTCCAAGAGGGTGCGTGATCGACGCAAAGTCTTACGTGAGATATACAGACATACAGACACACATACAGACACACATACAGACACACTGGGGGGAGGGAGGGGAGGGAGGGGAGGGGCACCGCGGCCGTGAGCTGCTCGGCTACTCCCCCCCCCACCCCTCACCATCATGGTCATCATCATCATCTTCATCATCGCCGCCTCCGCCAGATGACCATCAAGTACGGCGTCATCGAGGCGGGTTCCCTGGAGCGAGATCTGCTCCTCTGGGAGCACCTCTACGTGGCGGGGCGGCTCCACAAACCCGTGACGGCGCTGCTGCCGGTGGGCCCCCCGCCCCCGGAGGCCCTGAGGGCGGCCTTGACCGCCAACCTGCACAACGCACTGGCGGCAGCGCTGGTGCTGCTGCCACCCACCTTCACGGAGTTGGTGGGTGGGTGGGAGGGAGGAGGAGGAGGAGGTGGAGGAGGTGGAGAGAATTACGGGCACAGGGGGGAAGGGCTGGAAGCGGGGCTCCAGGGGGGGATGGTATGTGTGGGGGGGGCCCGACTCTTAGTCTTCACTCGGGAAACGGTACGGGACGCGGCGCTGAATACAACTCGGAGGGCTAGTTGGGGTTTGGGTGATGTTGGGTAAAAGGGGTGAAGGCACTCGGGAGCGGGAGCGCAGGGTAGGGGGGGAGCTTTGGCCCGGCGCACTGTGTTCACGAAGTGCCGTACATGTACGGCTTGGTCATGGTCGTGTCCTCTTTCGTGTGCAGGAGCTGCTGCGCACGTTGGTGGGTTTGAGCTATCGAGGGGATGTACGGCTGGCGGTTGGGGCGGAGGACCCGCATAAGGTGCAGCGAATTGTGGACGGCAGTTGGGACGAGCTGTACGGCATGTACCTGCCATTGCTAACCGAGGTGAGGGTTTCTTCGGGTGCGAACGGCGTTGCGCACCCGGATGCGCACCCACTACCTCCTCATCTGTTGACGATGTTGCCTATCAATCGTCATTCGAGCTGGGGGGAGGGTATTCCCCGGGTGGGGGCGCGCCTTTCCCTTCCCTTTCCTTCTCTTCTCTTCTGACCGCCGGCAGATTGTTTTCCTTGACTTGGCATGAGGTGTAATTCCCCCGAACCACGTGTCTGTGGTTCGTCTTTCCCCCACCCGGGGTGATGCCGGCACAGGCTCATACACACACAACACACAACACACACACACACACACACGCGGAGTTGGTCTCCCTCCACTAACCTCGGGAGGGTGAAACTACCAGCTCCAGGGAGGTGGTGGTGGGAGGGCCTCGGGCAGCAGAGGCTGGCTCCTTACCGCCTGCCCTGGCTTTACTTCCCCCCTCCGCAACCCCCACCCACTACGGATGGTTCTCCTGCTTCCTTTCGGCACTTTAGCTTAGTCTTTGCGGCCTACCAGGTAGGCCAGGCAGTTTTCCGTTATGGCCATGGCTACATCATCGTGAAGACTCCGCCTCCTTCGCAGGCCGCGACTGGTTAGTTGTTGCTTCCTCACTTCCGGCGTATCAGTCTATATCCCCCTTGGCATCAACTTCACTCGTTCACATGGTTCGTCTTCACCCGTCCCTCCCCCTCCCCGGCCACTCCGCTCCCGACTAACTCCACTTCTACCCGCCCTTCCACTTACGAGCGCAATGCCCTCTCTGCTCCGCCCGCTCGAACTCCAAGCCCGCAGTCGGGTCGGTACTCGGCACTGGGTTTGGAGGTGGCGGGGCATGTGGAGCACCCGGGCGGTGGGGGAGGGGGCCCCCCCCGGGGGGGATGTCGCATGTGGCGGCAGTCCAAGGACCCGGACGCCCAGGCGGCTGCATTGCGGTTACTGGCTCCCGGGCTGTTGCATGAGATGGCGGGCAGGTATGATGGCCCGGGGGAAGGGGAGAGGGGGGGAGACATCTCGAGGGGTGCGGGTTGGGTTTTGCTGTACTTGGGGTCCACGTACCACCCTCCGTACCTATCACCCGCCCCGGTGTATCGGCTTCAGTCTTCAGTGGTTCGTCTTGAACCCCCAAACCCTCACCACAACACCAACATAACGACCACCTGCAGTATCCCCTTACCCATATCCCCCACCCGTGATTAATGTATCTCATGCCGTACCCCACCGTACGATGCCGTATGGCCGTCCTTATCCCCTAATTCCCAGGTTGGGTTATCACGTGCCCCTACACCACCTGGCCCCCAGTACGACAACTCAGATGGAGGTGGTGGCGGCGGCCATGCGGTCGGGGGCACCGCAGCGGCTGGCGGCAGACAGCCTGGCGGCAATTGTACGGAGATCTAGCATGTACGGCAGTAAGGGAGTTGTGCTGCTTGCCATGATGTAACCACGCTGGCTGGTAGCCTCCCCCTTGGGCGTTCGTGTCGTATGTATGTATGTATGTATGTATGTATGTATGTATGTATGTATGTATGTATGTATGTATGTATGTATGTATGTATGTATGTATGTATGTATGTATGTGTATGTATGTATGTATGTATGTATGTATGTATGTATGTATGTATGTATGTATGTATGTATGTATGTATGTATGTATGTATGCGCATGCATGCCTTCATCGTGGCGTTCGCCTGTGTCATTTCCATGCCGTGTGACCTGGCAGTTCGTACGGATGCCTCTCTTCCCGCATCATGCCCTTGTTTCGCAACCCCCCCCCCGCGCCCCTCTCGCTTCTCTACTTCGGCGCACCTCCCTTCCCCCCCCCCTTCTTCAGCTACCAGGCGGCTGCGGGGCTGCTGGCAGCGGGCGGGGGCAAGGCGGTGCAGTACGTGGGAGCCAAGGTGGTGAAGGCGGTGCGGCCACTGCTGGCGGGGGTGGGGGTGGGGGCGGGGGTGGGGCGGCTCGGAGCAAGCAACAAGGGGGGGCAGTAGGAGTGCGGAGGCGGCTGTGGAGCTGTTCTCAGTACGGGTGCGGGGTCTGCGTGGTTACCCCCAGAAGTATGAGACCGACAGCTCGGGGGCTCAGGGGGGTGCGGAGGGAGTAGGTGGAGCGGGAGGTACGGACCGACGGCGAGGTCGGGGTGCAGGCGGGGCGGGGTAGGCAGCGCTTGGACTCTCGTGGTTTACGCTATGAGGAGCCGGAGATGAGTGTGGAGAGAGGGGCCACACACGCACACACCGGGATAGGGTTTCTTAAGGTTTTTAGGTTTCAAGGTTTTAGGGTTTTAGGTCTCGACCTCCTGTGTAGGGACCGACGGGTCGCTGTCCGCTGTTCAAAACCTCCGTCTGCAATCCCCCCCCGTGTAGCACCGTCTGTCACAACCTTCGCGCGGTTTCCTTCTTAGGGAGACTTTCTTGGGAGCTTCGAGAAGTACCAGCCTAGGTTGTTGAAACACACAAACTGGCATACGACATTCGAGGCCCCGTTCCCCCGCAATATATACACACACGCGCGCTCCTCCCCCACCCCACCAAACCTAGCTCGCAATCGAGGGGCGGTGGGAACTGGGGGCTGCCCTCCCCTGTTTGTTGCCTGTTGTGGCCATAGAACATGATAGAGCAGGTGATGGTCTCACGAAATGGAGGTGGTTGCCATCCCGGCAAACACGTTGGGTGTGTCTGGTACACAGATGCTCATAATTCATAAGACACGGCTCGCCCGCAGCAACAACACCGCCGCCGTCGCCCTCCACAGTACGACACACAATTCATGTCAGCGTACGGGAACAATTTCCCCCCTTTTATGTGTGTGTGTGTGTGTGTGTGTGTGTGCGAGAGAGAGAGTGAGCGCAAGATCGTGTGCAAACCCTATTGGCTTTGCTGCAGCTCACGTCGCGCACGGACCCCCGCCCTCCATCCGCACCGCAACAGGGGCCCCGCTGGTGTGACCCCCCCCGCGGCCACCTCCTACCTTCTGCCCTAACACACACGTACATACACACGTACATACACACATACACACCCACCCTTATCCTCTATCACCTCATGCATGCACACACGCCGGCCTTACGTACATACACACATACACACACACATGCGCTGCACCACCGGGCCCCACACGTTCACGCCAGAGGCTGCGGCTGCAGCTGCACGCTCGCCCCCCCCGCCGCTCCCCCCGCCGCCGCCGGCCCCCCCGCCGCCTCAATGTCCAGCAACCTTTTCATGGCCGCCTCCAGCTTTGGCGGCCACCGCGTGTTGGCCGCCAGCCAGCCCTCATCCCGCCACCTGCCCCCTAGCTCGAGAGCCGCCTCCAGCTGCCCCTCTGCAGCCGCCAGCTGGCCCTGGCTCCACAACATGGCCGCCAGCGTGGTGTGCGCCTCTGACGCGGTCGGAGAGGGGCAACGCCAAGGGCGTCAGCAGGCAGGGACACAGCAATCCCAGTCCCCTCCCCCTTCCCCTTCCCCTCCTTTTTATTACACTACAAAGAGAGAAGTTATTTGGGTTCTTTGTAGGCCAAGTCCCGACTGCAGCGCCCCCCCCCCACACACACATACACATACACACATACACACACACACCTGCGTAGTTGGGGTTCTTCCTGATGACCCCCTTCACCGCCCGCACCGCGCCCTCCGAGTTGCCGACCTGGTACATCAGCTGGGCCGCCCGCAGTCGGTATCCAGCTATCCCGGGAGCCAGGTCGGCCGCGGTGGAGAAGCAGCCCAGGGCGGCCTCGTAGTCCTCTAGCCGCAGCTCCACATTGCCCTGCTTCCAACAGGGGAGGGAGGGGGACGGGGGGGCAGGGAAGGGGGGAAGATCATCATGTGCGAGAAATTCAGAATTTAAATGAGCTGCCGGAGGCGTCCTCAAGGTCCAAAGTCTCCGAGTTTGCTGCAAGGTCCTTCACGATGTAGTTCCGGATGTTCAACCCGAATACGTTACCGACATTTTAAATTTAAACACTATATTGCAGTCGTCGTGTGGGCTCGTAGAGGGGGGAAGGGGAGGGAGGGGGTTGCGAGGGAGGGAGGGGGGCAGCGGTGTGGGGACATCCCCACGGGTCTTGAGCCGCGGGTCGGCACCAGTCACCTTCCATCACAAACTCATGATCCCACACGAACACGCACACGCCTGCGGAGTTGTTTTCTTTGGTCATCGTACAGCTGCCCATCGGCCCCGTCGTACTCCGCCGCACTCCTGCACCCAACCACCAATCACCTTGTTGAACCAGGCCGCGAACTCCCGGACATCACGGGAGATGGCGCTGTCGCAATCCGCAAGCGCCTCTCGCCACCTGCCGATGTGGCCATGTACGACGAATTACTGCATTGTGTGCTGGTGTACGGCATTACATATGCGGCTCCCGCCTTCCCCCATCGCCACCTCTCCCCCCGGTTGCACCCACCTTTCTCGTCAAGGTTCCGCTTTGCTTTGCTTTAGCTTCACCATCTGATCTATGAGATGGGAAGCTGCAATACCTACAACTTTTCCAGGATGAGCGGTTGAGCTGTGTGTGTATGTGCGTGTGCGTGTATGTGTGTATGTGTGTGTATGCGCTCCCCGAGGGCCCCCCCAATGTCCCCCCCACCTGGCCCCCGCCTCCTCCACATGCCCCTCCCGGGCCAACTGCAACCCGAGCTCCTCCAGCGCAATGGCACGGTTGAGGTACGGCACCGGCGCGTCGGGTGCTAGCTGTACGGCACGAGTGTAATCGTCGAATGCCTGCTTGGCGCGACCCTGTGCGAGACCAGGAAGGGAGGGGACGGGACGGGTGAGGGGCGCGGGGAATCGTCTCCGGGTTTCTTCAGGGCGGTAGTTGAGGTTAGTAGGCTTGCGGCGGTTTGGCCGGGAGGGTGGAGGGGGCGGGAGGGTGAGGGGGGGCTCCGGGGTGCACGAGGTAGCGAGTGGGGGTGGGGGGAATTTGCACGTGTCGATACACACACACACATATACACGCGTGTACCGGGTGGTCGGCATCATCCCGTATCCTGCACAGGCTTCCGTACCTGGGACATGTGTACGTTGCCTAAATTGGACCACACCGACGCCAGGGAGGGGTCCTCGGACAGCATGCGGGCGAAGATCTGTGGCGGTGTGTGTGTGTGTTGGGGGGGGGGTTGGGGGTGCGGGGGTTTGGGACGGGTGGGGATGGACCGGCGGAAATCATCCCCGCGAAGGGGCATAGTTTCGCGTCCGGGGAGGCTTAGGGGATTTCGAAACTGCTCCAGGGACGGTATGCAGCTAGACCGCAGTGTGTGTGTATGTGTATGTGTATGTGTGTGTGTGTGTGTGAGGAACTGAGCCGCTTTAGAGCCCTGAGTAAAGTGGTGAGAGGTGCTGGCACACGGGCAACTGTCTGTCCGTCTGTCTGTCTGTTGTCCGTCTGTCTATATGTCTGTCTGTATGTATGTGCGTTTGCAAGGAATGGGACACCGGTCCGGGAAACGATTACTTTCCTCTGAGCTGGGCTACGTGAACCAGTAGTGTAACCCCCGCAACCCCCTCCCCGGTGTGGTGCCAGGACACCGCGCACGTGGCGGGAGAGAGGGGGGGGGAACAGAGGGGGGGAGAGGGGGGGGGGAAGAGATCGCACCTTTCGCTCACTCGCTGTGGGACCAGTTCCATATGAAGTCGGCGACCCCTCTTTTACCCCCTCCACTTCAACCTTCACCTCAATGCTCCACATGCGCTATATTGACTCCCCCCATTTCCAGCCCGCCAACTCACCACCTCCGCTTTGGCATACTCGCCTCTCGTGGCGGCCTGGATGCCTGCGCCGTACACCGTACAGCGCCTCAAGTATCCCGCAAGTGGCGTATGCATTTGTGACGATAAGGCAAGTTTGAAGTAACTATGCAAGTAACACAAGTTCTATACACATCGATGGACCGTATGGATACATCATCACGCCCAGCAGGTCTCACCTGCACGCAACTCGGGGCTTTCGACATCGGCCAACCGAACGTTATTGGCAACCGCAGCAGGTGGCGTGGTCAATCCTCCGGCCAATACAGCGACGGATAGAACCAAGGCCTTTGCCGCTGTAAGTAGACGCTGCGACAGCTCCGACGCAGGTTGGTCCTGCTGCACCGCATGCAAATATATGTCCCTCCTGGCCTTTTGCAGAGCGCGAAAGCATGCTGAACTGTATCGACATATCCGCCGATGTCCAAGGAGCTCATGTTGGCGCATAACGCACGGCTTATAAACGCGACTATTGTTCGCTTGCATTGTTCTCGCGCAAGCAAGCGCTTTGTTCCTCAGCAGGGGCTAGGACCCCAGTTAAGCTAGCGCACCGAATTTGTGAGTCAAGATATTAACGTTATGACAGATCGATGCTTGTTAAGAATGGTTGCGCTTTTTCAGCGTGTGGCCAACAGCACTCTTGTAGCAACAACGCTTGAATGCAGGGACGGGTATTCCTAAAATAGCCTGGCACGTAATAATTCCTGTCTTGGTGCCACAGACTCTGTGCAGCTGCTGCCAAAGCCAAAACGCCTTGGTTGTACGGCGGTTTGTCATCCATCCTGATTGAAAATGACGCTTTACTCGCTTAACCGCTTGATCTGCGTATCCACGGCTTTGCTACAATCCATCCTAAAATTCTATCCCCATGGGATAGAACCTAACTTATTGCTTGTTGAATCGGTACGGTGCTCGTCCGATGCTTGCAACCGTCATGGATATGAGTTTCCGCGTCACCCCACGCGGATTCCCAAGACAGGTTGCTCCAAGCAGCATGACCAGTAGCAGAAACAACCCCTGATACCAGCGCACAGTAAAAGCCATCTTATTTGTCCTACTATGAGCGAGCCCAAAACCACGGAGAACGACCTGTTGCGCTCGGACCCGGGTGCCGTTTGTATAGTCAGCAGCGGCGAACGTGGGTTCAAAAACAAAATTTCCAGGCTTTCCAGCACCAGCACCGGCAAAAAATAACACACGTCCTTATCACCATTGTTGTTTGTGTCATCAATCAGCAACTTTGTGAATATTTGTAACGGAACAGCCTTGGCGATAATAGCATCGCCTTGACATAAAGCTCATAAGTAATGGCTTTAGCTACTATCAGCAGTAAAAGCAACCCAGCAATCTAACCACACTACTCGCACGTATATGCTAAAGCAAAACTAAAACCTGAACAAACCCTAAACGTTTTACTCACCAACCAAATCCAGCTCACAGCGCCCGCCCGCCCCCTTGTGTATGACACCTACCTGCCACCTTATAAACCCCAAACACTCCGAAAAACACAATCAGCACAATCAGCCCTACCGTTCTAGCCCCCCACCACCACCGCGTTGCCCTCCTCCTCCTCCTCCTCGCCGGCCTTTTCCCTCTCGTCCCCAAACCCACACGTCACCCCCCCCACATATAACCGACCTGGAAAGCCCCCGGGCAACCCCGGCCCACCCCCCACTCCATCCACACCTACCCCCCCACCACCACCAGCATAACCTCTCACTCAGGCAGCGAGTGCAGCGGCATACCCTTCTGATTGCGCTCGATGATCTCCCGAGCCAGCGGCACCTGACGACCAAGAACCAAACTGCTCACAGTGCCGCGACCGCCAGCGCCACGTGCCGTACGACCCACCCGCCGTACATACTCCGAGGGGTCGCGGGGGAAGTCGAACAGTATGACGTGCTCACAGTCCAGTACGTCAATGCCTGCGACATGGAGTCGTGCCAGCGAAGGAAGGAAGGGAGGGAAGGACGTGTGTGTTCGTGTAGGTATGTATGTATGTGTGTGTATGTGGTGATTCGTGGTGTTGGTGTTGGAGAGAGGGGAGGTGGAAAGCACCAAGTGGGAAGCGTCAAGGACGACGAGGGCCGCCCGGAAGGTTACGAAATGAGAATGTGCACACAAAAAAGTGATAACGGATCGACTTGAACCCGGATGTTAACCTCTGGTTGTAAGAGTGGGGTGATTAGGGTTATGGTGGCGGCGGAGGGCGTGGGTGACGTGTGGCGACGGGTCGTAGTGTAGTTGGGTGGTGGGTGGGAGGCCCGTGGCTCGGAGCTCCGTGTCTTCCCCTCCTACCTCGGGAGGTGCGGTCCGTAGCCACCAGCACCAGGGCTGGGCCCCCCTGGTCGCCCCCCTCCCCCCCCTCCGGCCGCTCCCGGGGCTCGTGAGACATCTCGCCCCGGGCCGCCCCGCCCTGCTGCGGCAGCTGGGGTGGCTGTGGCGGCTGGGGTTGCTGTCGGCGCCGTACAGGCCTGAGGAACTCCGCCATCGCCTCGGCCCGCAGATCGTCGCGGATGGCCTCGTGGTACGGCAATACCCTACGCGTTGGGTACGGCATGTGCACAGCAAGGTATTTTAGGCCGAGGTGGCGCAAGAGTGGGGGGAAGCCGACATGCTGAATGAAGGAGGGGGGGGGTGGCCCGCACTGCCACACACACACATACACATACGTCTTATGTTGTACATCCCCCTCATTTCCCCCCCCCAGCCCCCCCCTCTCTTACTTGTATTTCTGCTGCTGTGGGTCAGTCCGCAACAGGAAGTTCTCCACATCGCGACACGCGTCGATTTTGTTGCAGAAGACCAGGGTGCGGGGGGCCCGGTGCCGCTCCAGCAGCGTCTTGAGCGCCTGGGGGGATTTGGAAGAGGGTGTGTGTGTGTATGACGGCAGTTGACGGCAGACAAAAACGTCTTCAACGTGTGGATATCCCCGGTGTGTTTTGACCCCCCCTCCTCTTCCCCCTTCCCCCTCACCTCCCAGGGGGAGAGGCCCTTACCTTGTCCGGCTGCTTCACTACCCGACCCCTTGTTCGTGTACTGCACTTTTATCCGTGGGCGCGGGGCACACACACAAACACACATACACACCTCCGGCCCTTCTTCCCCCTCTCCCCCACCTCACCTCCAGCTTCCTCTTCCTGCCGCTCTCCTCCGTCACCTCATCCCCCCCGCTGCAATCCACAAGCTCCTCCACAAGACCTGAAGCCCGGGGTTGAGGAGTTTAGGGTTTTATGGGAAGGGTTAGGCGGGGTCAGGGGTTGAAGGGACGTAAGAAGCGAGGTGAGAGAGTACGGAGGTGAGCACCCCGAGGTATGTACGGAGGTACGGGGACTGTACTGCGCACTCATGAATAACCGGGGTAGGAGGCCTGGAGCCGAACCCGCCAAAACCCTTTTTCTCCCCCCCCCAACCCCCACACCCGCCAAACCCACCTGCTGCCGTACGATGTAGTCCGGGTCCAAACACCGTCCTGATCCCGCCCTCGCCCTCCCCCCGGGGCCAGACATCCTTCAGCTCGGCAAACACGTGCTGTGGCAGTGTGGCGGTGACCAGCACGAAGCGCAGGGAGGGCGGGGCGGCGGCGTGCAGGGGGACGATCTGGGCGCTGAAGTCGGCCCGGTCGCCTTGGGGGGGGTGGGGGGGTGGGGGTTGGAGGTTTGGGGGTTTGGGGGGAAAGGGAGATTTGAGTGGCGGCGGGTGGAATTAGGCTGAGGATCGAAGCATAGACGATACACGATAGATATGCTCCAGGAGAAGACACACATTGCATCCAAAATATATTCACTGGGCCATGATGGTATGTGTCTTAAATAGGAAGGTATTGGCGAGGCTCGACGAGGCCATTGCCAAGTTGGGAAACGTAAAACTAGCTGCAAAGATCTTGTTTGCAAACTAAAGGCGGCAAAAGAGAGAAAAAAGAACGGACAGCGTAACGTGAATAATATGCCGACATCGCGGCGCGAATAGTAAAGTAAGTGTGTTGCAGATTTCTTGTCCACTGCCACGCTGCTTGCTAGCTGACATGCATGCATGTGTTCCTCCCAGCTGGGGCGGCCCCCCGGCAGCTAACACACCCCTGGCCCGACCAACCCAACCATCTAGCTCGCCGACGTAGCGCGAAACAACAAACGACGGAACGCAAGGACTCACCTGGGCAGGCGGCACAAGCCAGGGAGGCAGCGGGCACATGCAAAGCAACAAAAGCAAGATAAAAGGTGAGCCGCGGAAAAAAAGGTGGGGGAGAGACAATTTGGGAATGCGCCTCAGCCGAGTGTACTTTGACCTATCGCTGATGCTGCTGCGGCTACTGCTTCGCGGCTGCCAGGTTAAAGCCCCAAGATACAACGAAACAATGCGTGCGTGTGTGTGTATGGGAGACGGGGATGGGGGTTACGGATGTGTATGTGGAGGGAGGAGGGTGTGTGTGGGGGGGGGGGTAGGATCACCCCAAGAAAGCCGGGCATGTCCGCAACCGGCGGGCCCCACCCACACGGGGGGGAAGGGGTTGGGCATGCACACACACACACGCACATATTGCCGTACACCCACCCGTACTTACCCATCAGTACATCCACCTCGTCCAGCACCAGCATACGGCAGTCAGTCAGCTCCAGGGTGCCCCCCTGCAGGTGCTTCTGCAGCCTCCCCGGCGTGGCCACCAACAGGTCCACTCCCTCCCCCAGTACCCCCTTCTGAGTACGGAAGCTGACCGCCCGCGCCTTCTCATCCTTCTGACCCCCCGTGAAGGCAGCTGTACGGCAGCGTAACCCGGCGCTGCTGAGCGCCCGGGCCACACGGAGAACCTGTTGTACGAGCTCTGTACGGCAGTGAACACAAGGGACGAGAGAGAGGGAAAGAGAATGGCGGCGCGGGCGGGCGGGCGGTTGTGTGTGTGTGTGTGTGTGTGTGTGTGTGTGTGTGTGACGTAATGGCGGTACTCCTGTGGGGAGGGAGGAGGAAAGACGTGAACCACGTGAACGAGTGAAGCTGCTGCCAAGGAAAGAGTGTGCAAGAAGATGAACTGACCAGTAGGCGTTCTTGAAGGCGGCGTCCCCGGAAGGGGAGGGAAGGGGAGAGGGTGAGGGTGCTGTCGCGATGAGGGTTTGCCAACAAACCGTTAACGCCGTCACGACCGTTTTAGACGGTGTTTTCGCCGTTCCAACTCCCCACGCCGCTCCCTTTGCGCGCTTTGATGACTTCACTCCCCACCGCGGCGATCTGTCGGTCGGTCACTCCCCACCGCCTCTTCCCCCATTCACCCAAACCCCACCCCACCCCCCACCCACCCAACCCCCCACCCCACCCCACCCACCCCCCACCCACCCACTGTGGGGGCCACGACAATGCCCCGAGGGCATCCGGGCCGGGTGACCCGGGTGCCCGCAGCCAACTCCTCCTGCCGCAGTATCTGGACGGGGGGCAGGGGGCGGGGGCGGGTGGGGCTTGGGGGTGTTGTGCTCTGGACTGGGTGAGTGGGTGAGTGAACATGGTTCGGGTCAACAAGCAGCGCGGGTGCGAGCTGGTGGCCTCCTCGCTCCGAAACCATGTGGGCCCCATCCGGATGTCAGTACGGCAATCGGGAAAACCCTAAACAAAACCCTAAAGAACTCCCTTTCCCACTGGCGTGACGAGGGAAGTTGGAGAGCGTTGTACGTGTGCGCATGCGTGTGTATGTATGTATGTGTCATGTGCGACATGTGCCTACACCACGTTGTCAACCCCCCCGTCTCCCCCCCTCACTCACACACCCCTTTCCTGCCCCTCCTCCCGCCCTACCCGCCCCCCCCACCCCAACAACAACAGCCCCAACCCTGGCTTCAGCACGCATCTCCCTCCCCTCCGCCCTCTGGACGTTGGCAGTTATAATCTTTCTCTCGTACTCCTTCCTAAGGATTTTCCCTCTCCCGCATTTCCCTCCCCTCCCTCCTCGTGCCGCTCCCACCCCACCCCCTGACCTGCATCAAGGGCGCAAGGTAAGCCAACGTCTTGCCACTGCCCGCTTGGTCGGCTAGGACGATCGGGGCGCTAGGCGGGGCCGGGGCTCGCTTGGTTCCGGAGCCGGTGCCGCAGAGGGCGGAGAACGCCAGCGCCTGGGCACGTGTTGGAGGAGAAGAGCGATACTGGTATACGGGTGCCGCGGAAAGCGAGGGCGGCAATAGAGGACCCGCGGGGGGTCCGGCGCTTTGCTTTTGTTAACAGCATGCAGGGGTATCGGATTGATGGGGGGACGGACCGTTTTGTTGGGTAGTTAGTTATTTCGGCAGTTAAGTAGGTTAGGTAGGTAGTTGGGCTTCTTAGAGGGCTCTAGGGGGCCAGTTCGATGAATGTGACGCGCACCGAGAAGACCCGTACCTGGATGTGAGAGGGTCGGGAGATACCCAGGGTTTTCAGCGCCGAAACCACTTCCTCCATAGCGCCCACATGCCGCCAGCTGCTGCCGGCGAAGAATGTGCCTTTGTCGCCGTCGTCCGGTCGTACAAGAGGCAGGTCGTACGGCAAGGGCCGGTTGCCGGTGGACGAGCCCGGCGGCCGTGCGACGGGGGCGACGGGGGCTGACGTTGCATCCGCCGCTGCAGTGACGTCACCGGCGGCGGCGGCGTCACGTCCTGCCGTACGACCCTCCCGGCGGCCGCCTTCCTCCCGGCTCCGGCCGTCATCACGGTTGCGACCGCCACGGTCCCCGCGCTGTCCGCCATCGCGCCTAGCATCGTGACGGTCACGGCCCCCGCGGCGCTCGTCCATATTGCCACGGTCCCTGTACAAGTCGCCGCGCCGCGCCCACTCAGCCTTTTCCCGCCGCTCGTCCTTGCCGCCGCCACGGTGGCTCCGCTCCCCGTCATATTCCCGGTCCCGCCTGTCCCCTTGTTGCCTCCTCTCGCCGTCGGGGCCTTCCAGGCGGCTGTAGCTACCTGACTTTCCGCTACTGCTAGTGTTGCTGCCGCTGCCTCCACGCATGCCACCCCCCTCGCGGCTAAACAACGGGCGGCGCTCCCGGCCACTTGTGCTGGGCCGCCTGCTACTAACCCCTCTATCTTCTCCTTCTTGAGGCACTTCATCGGAGAACCGTCGACGACCTGAGCGCTCCCGTTGCCGGCCATGTGAGCTTCCATCGTCGCTTCCAAAACCGTCGCCGTACGCGCGACGAGACCCTCTAGGACGCGGATTTCGGCCAGGAGCGTCAGTTTCATCCACTTCGGCAAAATCTTGTTGCCATGCGACGTTGCGGCGACGGTCTGCTGGGGCCCCAACAGCCCTACGCAATTGTCATGGTCAAGTAAATGACGTTTTATCCTACCGAATGAGTTTAAAATAGCCATGTAATGCAATCTCATTAAGAATCAGAACGGAAACTGTAATACGTAGTTTGTGGAGGCGCAGAATGGCACTCGACGGAGGCAAGCGGCGGCGCAATTTGCGTTTTGGAGAACACCTTTGCACTGACCTGACCGCCTGAGATGCCGATGGGACTGCTGCTTGGCGATGAATCCATGGACCTTTAGCGCGAGTCCGCGTAGAGGTAAATATTCTGCAGAAACGTGAGCGTAAGAAACTACGGTTCAGAGACTGACTTTGGAAACAGAAGGTAAACTAACAAGCTACCTGCAAGGATTTCGCAGCGTATTCATGTCGTGACACGGAAGCCGCTTTTGCTATGCTTTGTCCTAAAGAAGTGAAAATAGACGAAGCACCAGCAGCTAAAAATGTATGATGTTAAGTGGGATGGAAAACTAACAAGATGCGTTGAGATTAGGCGTGTCATGCGGAATTCCTGGGTTCCCGGTTTCGATTTTCGAGAAATTATGACGGTTACAGCGGTTAGTGTACGGGCTCTGGAAAAGCTTCGGCCGTCTGGACCGCGGAGGCGGTTGGCAGAAGCAGCAGGAAATTCAATTTAACTGTTTGCGAGCATGAGCATAATATTGCGATAGCTTTGCGATGCTTCCGGGCCCTCCTCTGAGTGAGTCATGCTTGCAAAGCTGCACAATTCGCAGATGCTAGTTCAAATGCCACGAATATTCTGCTTAAGGCCTGTACCTGGAGCAGCCGTTACTGCAGCTTTCCTAAAGTCTAGCCCGTCGACGCCATCCACCTTGCCTGTGCTTGTACTAGGCCATGACAGCTGGGCCGCTGCTTCGAATGCCTCGCCCTGCATCTGTGCCATCCACTCAAAGCCATCCAGCCAGCAGCGTTGCCATTTGCACCACCGCTCTCCCGTCTGCGCCTCCATGGCCTCCACATCAAGCCCAGTACCATTGGCTAATTCGGGCTCACACAAGCGCCATCCTCGGATTCGCCCAGCTCCATCTGCTCTCCTGTCCAGCTCTACTCCAGCCCTAAAAGATCTCCCAGGCGTCCCCTTCAGCTGCTTCACCGCCGCATCCCACGGCGGCAAGCGCATACGGTGTACGGCAGCCTCCGCCGCTGCCACCGAGGACCTCGACCACCCGCCTTCCTCACCCTCTCCATCTACCGTCGACCCCTCCACATGTACGACAATGCCCCAGCGGCGGCAGACACAGCCCACACCGTCATCCCCCGAGTCCTCGCAGCCGCCAACGGCGCTGAGGGTGGCGACGACGGAAACGACTACTGCCGCCGGCGCTGAAGCAATCACTGCCGGCAGTAGCCGCAGCATCAGTAGCAGTAGTAGCAGCAGCAGTAGCCCGCCCTCCCAGCCCGCGCTCACCAGTGGCTTAGGTCAGGTCATCGCTTCCGCCTCCAACTACGTACGAGTGGAGCTCTACCAGCTGTTGCCTGATGAGGAACCCACTCCCCCGGACTGGCGGCCGCCGCACTTGCGGCCGCGGCCGGCGGCGGCGGCGGCAGCGGCGGCGCCATTGGCAGCAGCAGAGGCCGTAGCGGCCGCAGTTTCCCCACCGCCGCCGCCGCCGTCCCCGCCGCCGCTGTCTCCTCCTCGCCTGCTTCTGTGCAGCATTCGTTCGCTTCTTCGCAAGCTGCGTCAGGACGTGGTGGTGGGTGATGTGGTGCGAGTGAGCTCCATCGACTGGCGGGAGGGCCGCGGAGTGGTTTCGGAGGTTCTCCCCCGCAGCAGCCGCCTGGTGGACCCCAACGTGGCCAATGTGGACCACGTGCTGCTGGTATTCGCACTTGACCAACCGCCGGTGGGTGTACGGCATGATGGGGGTTATAGGGGTTTTTAGGGTTTTGCAAATGTGTTCGCGGTTGTGCGCAGCACCGGGGCCCCCTTACCCCTCCCCTCCCTCCTCCGCTCCGCCCCCTTCCCCTCTTACCCCCCTTAACCCCCCCCTCCTCTCCCCCCCTCTTATCTCCCCCCTGTTGTCCGTTCCTTCCGTCAGTTTGAGGAGCTGCAGGTGAGCCGCTTCCTGGTGGCCGCGGAGGCCGCCGGACTGCCCTTCAGCCTTGTTCTCAACAAGGCGGACCTGGTGGGGCGGGAGGTGGTGGAGAAGAGGGTGGCGCAGTGCAGGTAGGAGGAGGGCAGAGGGGAGGGCAGAGGGGAGGGCAGATCAGGGATCGGGCCGTCAGTGAGTGTACGGGCTTTCGGGACGTGTGGCTTGTGTGTGTGCGAGTTGAAAGCCGCTGTCGGTGGTGTCAAAATGCCTTGGGGTGGTGGATGATGCGTTAACGTGAGTTGGTGGTGCGTTATGAGTCTGTCCGTCAGTCGGTCTGCAGACCCAACCCCTGCTGACGTCACACCTCGGGCGTTTCTCGGCTCAGTTGGCTCGTTGCGTCGTGCATCATATCATTCTCTGCCTCCCCCGCGCCCCTCCCCCCTTTGTGGGCCCCCTCCCCCCCCCCTCTCAGGTCGTGGGGTTACGAGCCTCTGGTACTGAGCTGCGAGGGGGGTTGGGGGGTGGAGGCGGTGGC